TTTTTTTTTTTTTGGTACCGGGGCTTGAACTCAGGACCTTGCACTTGTGAGGCAAGCAGCAGCACCACTGAGCTAAATCCCTGGCCCAGAAAAGAATATTCTGAGTCTTTTACAAGAGTCAGGACTCCAGGACTTTCTCCGATTGCTCAGCTCCCATCAGGAAAGCAAGTTCCCTGAGGAGAGGGTTTGCTCTGTGCTGCCTACTATGTGGCTGACATGATGTGCTAAGCCTGTGCTGCATGGAATGCACAGGTAGTCCATGCCACACAATGAAAATCGACTTTTTTGCTACCGTGCCCATTCCAAAGAACTGTTTTCACGATTCATATTTTTGTTATAAAAAATTTTAAATATAAATCTTTATACTGTAGTTCCATGAAATGAAGTTCTTTAACTCTTCACTTCAGCACTTTTTTTTTGAGACAGAGTCTGGCTGTGTAGTCCAAGCTGGCCTTCAATTCACTATGGAGCCCAGGCTGAGCTCAAACTCCCAGTAATCCTTCTGCCTCAGCTTCCCAAATGCTGGGATTACAGGCCACCATGCCAGGTTCAAACTTTTTATTTCATTCATCCAAACTTTTGTCTCTCTTTTTTTTGGTACCGGGGATTGAACTCGGGACCTTGTGCTTTTGAGGCAGGCAGGAGAACCACTGAGTTAAATCCCTGGAACCCCTTTTGTCTCTTTTTATATGGCTTGTGTCTAGAAGGCCCCCAAAGCCTCATGCGGTCATGAACTGTTTCTCCTCTGTGACACCCCTCTGCCATGCCACCTTGCCTTGGAGACTGAAACCTCTACAAACTGAGCTAAATAAGCCTTTCTCCCTTTAATTTTCGGTGTTGGGTATTTTGTCTCAGAAATGAGAAAAGTAGCTAAGACAACTATGAACTACTTGTTGTTGAACATTTTCTTATTTAGTTTAATATTAAGTCATCTAAAATGTTAAAAAAAATTTTCAAAGAAAATTCCATTTTACCATAATGAACTCTATGATAAACAATGGTTTTCAGAATGAAAGTGATCTTTATATATAAATGACATTTAGGAATCAATTTTAGTTTTAATTGATATAATTCTGATGAAAGGAAACAGGAACATTATAATCATACAAAGAGTTATACTATGCCTTTTCAATTAATTTTCATTTGCTGCAGAAAGTATCTGCAGAATGACTGGAGAAAAAAACCCAAACTTTCGGGCCGGGGATTTAGCTCAGTGGTTCCGCTGCCTGCCTCGCAAGGGCAAGGACCCGAGTCTGATCCCCAATACAAAAAAAACCAAAAAACAAACTTTCATGTTATAAGGAAATTTACTTAAATGAAAATTCATGACAGTAATAATTTAAGTGAGAAAACCTGTTTTCCATTAGACCACAGAAGGCGAACCTTTTAGAGACAAGTGCCCAAACTGCAACCCCAAACCCACTTATTTATTGTAAAGTGCCAACACTGCAATTAAACCTGAATACTGAGGTTTTAGTCTAGAAAAAACAGCTCACATATTAACATCCTTTGTCACCGCCCCCCCCCCCCCAGTATGGGGCTCAAACTCAAGACCCAACATCTTTTGTCTTAAAAGAAAAACAACATGTGTGCCATAGGGTCACCAACACTGCTCTAGGGTTTACTTCGTTTTTATTTTTTTTGGGGGGGGACCAGGGATCAAACTCAGGACCTTGCGCTTGTGAGGCAGGAACCGGAACCACTGCACTAAATCCCCAGCCCTCCAGGGTTTACTTTAATGTGGAGTCTCACTTTAAGTCATCTTGAGAAAAAGACAGGGACGACTTCAGGCCAAAACCAGACATACAAACAACATAACCAAATATTTTTTATTTTTGTTTTCTGTGGTGCTGAGGATCTAAGCCAGGACCCTGTGCTTATTAGCCAAGGGCTCTACCACTAAGCTCCACCTCTAAACCCAGGTCCAACTGCTATTACCCTTACCCCTGAAGTAGGAACAGGTTCATTCAGCTGGTGGCCCACTAAGTGTAGTGCTTGTTGTGTACAGATTGAGGCAGGGTAGTATGGGAGGAGATTCATTTAAAAAAAGATAAAGAATTAAGTACAAATTACTCCACGTGGTAAGAGATTAAGAAGTTTTGTATCTTCAAAAAAAAAAGTCAAAGGAAGCATCAATTTCTAACTGGCCCTTCTGGGGACAATATTATTTACCAATAAAGCAGGACCCTGTCACATGCAAAGTGAAGAGTTCTAGACAGGGGAGAAAGCATAAAGGACCTGAAGAGGGACAGAGCTCTGTAGACTGAAGGAACTTGTACCATAAGGAGTGATGGTAACAGGCATGAGGTATGAGAAGCAGGCATGGAACTGCTTCATTAATGCCTTTCTGGACATGTTAAGAAATGTTTTTTTCTGGTGCTAAGGAAAGTAAGTTTTGTTTATTTTTTTGAGATAGGGTCTCACTAAGTAGTCAACATGGGGCTTTAACTCACTGATACAGCCCAGGCTGGCCTGGAACTCCAAGAAATTCATATTTAACCAGAGGGTGAACATAATCCAAATGACATTTTAAAAAGATCACACTAGCTGCTATTATATGGCTATTGGAATGGAATGAAGCAAGACTGTTATTCAGAAGGCAAAACTACTATACCACTTAAAGTTGAATTAGATTAAGACAGAGAATGTAAAAATAGGCAAAATATGAACAGGCATTTTACAGAAGAGCACATTCAAAGATAAAGCAAACATATCAGAGAAATACAAATTAAAGCAACAAAAACTACAGCATTAATGGGATACCTGAAACTGAAAAAAATTCAAGTAACAAACTTGTTGTTGGTGCGTTTATAAGGAAAAAAGTACTATCATAACCTGTTGGTAGAAATTTTAAGTGTTTTTCAATCTTTCAGGAAAGCTATATGGAAATATCTAAAATTCTGCATTTATGCCTTGACCCAGCAATCCCACTGCAAGCAACCTGGACCACAGAAATAAAGTACCAGCCAGGTGTGGTGGTGTACATCTGTAATCCCAGCACTCAGGAGACTGAGGCAGGAGTATCGCCAGGGGTTCAAGACCAGCATGGGCTATGTGAGTTCAAGGCCAGCCTAAATTACATAGCAAGACCCTGCCTCAACCAAAACAAGGGCCAGGATTTAGCTCAATGGCACCACACCTGCCTCACAAGCACAAGGTCCTCAGTTCATCCCCGATACCAAAACAAACAAACAAACAAAGACCAAAATTTCAGTCCGTGATTCTGAGGAAAATGGCCATGTCTGTGCAAAAAAGATGGCTGGAGTCATGTTTGACAGCAGCTGCTGAGTTTGCAAACAAGAGTGTTGGTGAACCAAGGTAACACTAAGTGCCAGTAAGTGTGTATATGTATGAAGAATATTCACAATATTGTTTGTAGTGGAAAAAGGCAGCAATCAAAATATATGTGTATGCACAAATAAAAACGCCAATACCATGGAGGAAAAAGGATATATAACAAACTGTTTAAAGAAAAAAAAATTTAAATAAGATACAAGAGAGTATTATGCACATATGCATACGTGAAAGTGCTCATCTGGAACTCCAGTGAACAGGGAGCCAGTTGTCTTAGGTACTGAATAGAATGAGTTGGCACTATGGCTTGCTTGAGTTCATGGAATGTATGTACACATGTGTCTGGGATCTTTATTTTTTTTCCCCTGAAAAAATGGGGGAGAAGGATTGAACTCAGGGCTTTGGCAGTGATCTACATCCTTAGCCATTTTTAACTTTTATTTTGAGACAGGGCTTTGCTAATTCGTTAAGTTGCCTAGGCTGGGCTCAAATCTGCAGTCCTTCAGCCTACCAGAGTGCTAGGACTACAGGTGTGTGTGACTACACTCAGCTTCTTTTTTTGAGACAGGGTCTCACCATGTAGTCCAGGCTGTCCTCCAACTTACTACATAGCTCAGGCTGCCCTCAGACTCATGGCAATCCCGAGTGGTGGATTATAGGTGTATGACACCATACCCAGTCATACTCAGCTTCTTGATTCTTGTTTTTTGGTACTGGGGATGTAACTTGGGTCCTTGCGCTTGCAAGGCAGGCAGCATAACCACTGAGCTAAATCCCTGGCCCTCTTGATTCTTCTTTTAACCACCTCCCTTGTTCTTCATATTTCAATTTCCCTCATAAAAGTGAAAAACGAATGTACTGATTTGTAAACACATACACCCATTTACTGGATGGTTTTCATATATAGAAGCTAATACATTGGTTTATATATCAGTCTCTGGCTAGCAAGAAATATTATTCCCTTAGATTTTAATATTGTTGGTAGTATACTAGGATGAGGGTCACATGTGGAAGGAAAAGACCACACAGTAAGTCCCGACTTATAAACATTCGGGTTGTGAACTTTCACAGATATGAACAGACCTCACATTAAGAACATTCGTAGATGTGAACAAATAGCGATGTAGCTCATGTGTCTGCTGGACACTGTCACAGTTGTGCTGTTGTGTGCTTAGGCACAGTGTGACAGTGTATAATAGCAGTGTTCAATCAGAGCCGGATGTCTGGAAGCAGAAGAGCAGTGATGTGGTGGCAACTGCTAGGAAGAACAGAACAATAAACATTGTACATTTGTGTCAAAGGCATGTCAGAGGCCCAGGGATTTAGCTCAGTGGTTTCGACGCCTGCTGCGCAAGCGCAAGGACCCGAGTTTGATCCCCAGAACCAAAAAAAAAAAAGAGACATGTCAGACTCACTGTCACACTTACGGATGAATCTGACTTATGAACATTTTCCTGGAACAAAACTTGCTCGTAGGTCAGGGACTGACTGTGAAGCCGTCATGCTTTTGTCAAAATACAACATTGGTCTCATAAGGTTATCAGTAAAACATTCTTTGGAAGTGTGAAAAACTTGAATTGAGGGTTTGGAACAATATTTAAAATCAATGAAAGTAAAATTTTGGAGAGAGGGAGGGGACATAAAAAGAAATAAAGTGTTCTGTACATATATGAATTCCCTATGGTGAATGTATGTGCTAATTAAAGAAAACAAAAAAAGAACAGTAATACTAACAACAACAACAATCAATGTAAAATTTTGACCTGTGAGAAATTAGAATTTATTATTTATTTATGTATCTTTTTGAGACAGAGTCTTGCTATGTAGTTCAGGCTGGCCTTGAATTCACTGTGTAGCCCAGGCTGGCACCGAACTTGTGGCAACCCTCCTTCCCCAGCCTCCTGTCTCGAGCTCTAGGAGTGCTGGGAATAGAGGCATGTGCCACCATGCCTGGCTTCCAGAAAATAGAATTTAAATGTCTACTTTGACTGTGGGTGTAGCTCAGTGGTAGAATACATGCTTAGCATGTGCTAGCCCTGGGCTTAATCTCCAGTATCCCCTCTACCCCAACACACACAAAGATAAGAATAGAAGAGTCTAGGGCCGGGGATTTAGCTCAGTGGTTCTGGCGCCTGCCTTGCAAGCACAAGGTCGAGTTTGATCCCCAGTACCAAAAAAAACCACAATGGAATAGTAGAGTCTAACTTATCAAATATGAGGCTAAAAAAATTACAGATGGCTGGTTGTACCAGATAAGCATTTGTGATCCAGGAAATGCATTACTACCTAATATACATTATGAGTATATGTAACTCTTATTCATTGTAGCAATATGCATTTTTATACCTAAGTTTATTTAGGTCAAGCCTACTTAATTCTACACAAGGACCCCATCATATTAAAGTCTATTGGTTCCTGGAGTCCAGAAATTTTGATAGCAAGAGGTACCCTGTTACCTGAATCCATTGACAGCCCGTGTTAACAGACAGCAATAACAAATGTTTGGATAATTAAGACACTGACCTAAAATGTAACTTCTCTATTCAGTTTGTGCTCAGATCATTAGGGTTGGGATAGGAAAAATGAAGCTGTACCATCTGAGGGGTAATAGATAAAACATTCGATGATTACCATAAATATGTGACAGGTAATAAAAAGATAAACATGTCAGATGTATGGTTTCCATGAGAAAAGAAATAATTTAGTATCTTCAAACTATTCCTACGGAGAGCCAGCGTTTTAGTTCAGTGGCACCACGCCTGCCTCAAGTCCAAGGTCCAGAGTTTGATTTCCAGTACTAGAAAAAAACCAAAATAAAACAAAAAACCCCAAGCTATGCCTCCGAAGAAGTTATCAACTTCACTCTACAGCTGAATGGCAGCTGAGAGAAGCCAAGGAATCCTCCCAGGTTAATATGAAGCCAGAGAGGACAGAGCTAAGATTCAAAATCAGCTGTCTGAGCCTTCTATAGTTATGCTACACTCCTTTCTCTACTGCCAAAATACTTGGTAGAAAATTGGCTACTGCAGTTTAAAGGTCAACAACAAAGAATGGAGCTGTTAAATAAAAACTCAAGCACATTTATAATAAATTCTAAATCATAAAATTTTACCTCTAAAGAGTATAATAGGAACAAAACAGTGCTGACTTCTGGGCAGGAGTAAATGAACTTTTAGATGCTTTTGTGAAAGGTGTAGTTTCCCTAATTTCTCTCAGTGAGTTTGTTCATGTACAGGAACACTATTGAATTTTGTGTGTTGACTTTTTATCCAGCTACACTACTGAATTTGGTTATTAAATCTAGAAGTCTTTCGGTGGAGCTTTTGGGGTCTTCTATGTAGAGTATCCTATCATCTGCAATTAATGATCATTTAACTTATTCCTTTCATTTCCTTCTCTTGTCTAATTGCTCTGGCTAACGTTTCCAGAACTATATTGAATAAGAGTGGTGACAGTGGACATCCTTATCTTGTTCCTGATTTTAGAGTGAAGGCTTTCAGTTTTTGTCCATTCAGTATGATGTTGGTCATAGATGGCTTTTATCAGATTGAGGTAAAGACCATCTATACCAGTTTTCTGTAGGGTTTTTATCGTGGATGGGTGTTAGACTTCGTCAAACGCTTTTTCTGTATCTATTGAGATGATCACGATTTTTGTACTTGGCTCTGTTGATATTTGCATATGTTGAATCACCCCTACATCCCTGGGATGAGTCCTACTTGATCATGGTGCAGGAGTGAATGAATGAACTTTTAGAAGCAAGATCTTAAAACCTTTCATCCCCATTTTTTCAAGGTGCTAGGAGGGGTCCTGTGGGAGGACACATAAACGCAGAAGAAATGAAGTGAGTGGATGGAGGCAGATCATTTTTTGGAGAGCAGGAAAGTAAAGTGTGGTGTCTATCTCACCCTGACACGAAACTATAGTAAGAATCTTCATGGGAAATTCACTTGTTAGATTTTTACATGGGGCAAGAGAATACAGCTCAGAGGTAGAATGCACATGTGAGGCCCTTGGGTTTGATCCCCAGTACCAAAAAACCGAGAGATAGATAAAAATTTACCTTATTCTTTACCGCCTCAATATTCTTTACAGGTGTGACAGAAATAATTCTCACAGGGTTCTCCTCATTTTCACTAACTCCAGTCTCTGCTGCCTCTGAACTCTGTTCCCTAGTGGGAAAAAATAAACCACATCTTCCGTATTTCACAAGAAGGCCAAGTTCACCCTTGCACTCCACCAATAAGGAAAGGCTTAGGCTGGTTCAGAAACCTCACCAAGTAATGTATTTACAAACTGTGGCTTATTTATAGCATGCAATTCACTTCCATTTAATTTTACAAATATCAGCCAGAAAATACTGCCTAAAACTACCTGACAAGAAGATTCTCTACAAACAAAAGAACACAATTATTCTAAGCCTTATCTCTTGGGGGTAGGGAACCTAAACAAAAACATAACTATAGATCACAGTACAGCAGAGTCATTCCCAGTGTTCTTCGTGATCTGCAAAGGAGGAGCTGTAAGAAGAAAAGGTTATGTGGGTGCCTGAATCCCCATCATCTCTTTAAACCATAGGTACTGCACATTATTTTCTATCTTGGATTCTTGTGATAAAAACAGTTCAAACATATTGGTTCAATTTATCCATATGATTTCATGGATAAGGTCAGGTGTGGTGTTGCTCCTTTGTAGTCCCAGCACTTGGAGGCTGAGGTAGGAGGATGCTGCAAGTTCAGGGCCAGCCTGGGATACACAGTGAGTTCAAGGCCAGCTTGAACCATGTAGTGATAGCTGTCTCAAAAAACCCAAAAAGATTTCATGGAAAGAACAAAATCTTTACAGCTGAGAATGTACTTTGCTAGTAAGAATGCTTCCTAGCATTCGTGAGGCCCTGGTTTCAATGACACAAATCAAAAAAAATCCCAGATCCTTTTTTTTTGGTACCGGAGATCAAACTCGGGTCCTTAGCTTGCGAGGCAGGCAGTGGAACCACTGAGCTAAATCCCCGGCCCCCCAAATCCTTTTTAAAAAAGAAATCTTTAAAAAAATAAAAAATAGAAACAAATCTTTACAGGGCCAGGGATTTAGTTCAGTGGTTCTGCCGCCTGCCTCCCAAGCGCACGGTCCTGAGTTCGATCTCCGGAACCGCCCCCCAAAAATCTTTACAACCTCTCTACGTAGTGTCTTAGGAGTAGAGTAGATGCACAAGCACAAGGACCCAAGTTCCATCCCTGGTACCAAAAAAAATTAAAAAAAGAGTAGAGTAGGATGGAAAGCTTTTTTTAAAAAGTGAGACAAGGCAGGCTGAATGAGACAAGTCCAGGCTGGCCCTGAATTTGTGATCCTCCTGCCTCAGCCTCTCTTGTGCTGGTATTACAGGCATGCATCACTAAGCCTGCCTGTCTGGTTTTGTTAACATTAATGTGCCTGGTGCTGGGGATTAGAGCTCTAATCCACTGAGGTATACCTTCAGCCCTTTCTTTGTCTTTTGTTTTGGTACTGAGGATCAAACTCTGGTCCTTGCACTTTCAGGGCAGGTGGCAGAACCACTGAGCTAAATCTCCGGCACCTTTACCCCTTTTTCTGTTAACTTTTCTTTCTTTTTTTGGTACTGGGGATCAAAGTCAGGATCTTGTGCTTGCCAGGCAGGTGCGGTGCCACTGAGCTACATCCCAACCCTCTGTTACTTTCCTATGCACTTAGAATGCTGTATCATTTCAAAATGAATACATTCTTGGTTCATATCATTAAAAATACTAAAATTCAGTCTGGGCATGGAGCTCAGTGGTACAGCACTTGTCTAGCGTGTACAAAGCCCTAGGTTTAATCCCCAGCCCTTCAAACAAATTAAATAAAGGAAAACTAAAATTCATTGGTATTGTTTTGTACTAAAACATTTACAAAAGTAGAAACCCATTTTATGATACAGAGCTTTAGGAATAAACTGAAGGATAAACCAAGTAGTGAGAGAACAAAAAAAACTTAAAGAGAAAAAAATTGCCTTGCTCGATTTCCGGTTGAGGAGTTCAGTTCTGAATTTACATTGATATTGCTTCCAGTCTCAGTGCCGGTGCTTCTAACATAGGGTTTCCTTCCTGTTGCTGATAAAGGCTTGTTTACTGCACCTAGTACTCCAGTAGGCTTTGGCTGAAAAAAATCACACAAACACATTATTTTATACCTTAATGAAGGGGACACATATAAGAGATATTCTTTAGCTAAAGCCAAGTGGAAAGGTCAACCCTAAATGAATTAGAAATGATAATTCTGTAAATATGCATGAGGTTGCCCTATTGCAATTAAAAATCTACAGGATATGGGCCGGGTATTTAGCTCAGTGGTTCCATTGCCTGCCTCGTTAGCGCAAGGTCCTGAGTTCAATCCCGGGTACCCACACTCCCCCAAACTACAGTATTACCTTTACTTAATAACAAGGCAATATCTATTTTCTATATGCTTAATCACTGTTATTCTTTTTTTTTTTCCCTTTTCTTTAAGCAGGATCCTGCTATATTGCCCAAACTAGTCTTGAACTTCTGGACTCATGGGATACTCCTGGTTCAGCACCCTGGGTAGCTGAGATATTGGTGTGTACCACCTTGTTCCACTCTTACTGCTTAATTAAGACAAAGATTGCTCCCAAACTGCCTTATATGCCAGGTAATTTTTTATCTGGTACCAGGGATCAAACTCAGGACCTTGCACTTGTGAAGCAGGTGTGGCGCCACTGAGCTAAATCCCTGGCTCTCCAAACTGCCTTATAGCTGGGGATGTAGCTTAGTGGTAGGGCACTTGTTTAGTATATATGAGGCCCTAGGTTCAATCCCCAGCACTACAAAATCAAACAAACAACCCCCCCCCCCAAAAATCCAAACTGCCTTATAAACAAACTAATAACTATATGTACTAAGTAATAAAGTCCTATGTGAACTGCAATGAAAATACAAATAAAACTATCACAAAAATATATATGTAGTAATGACCTGGAAATTATTTATCAAAGATTAAATTAGTTTTTTGGTTTTTTAGGTCTCATAAAATGACTTTTAGGAAATCTAAAAAGTCAAGTCAAGGCATGTGTCTTGGTACATGCCTATAATCTGTTGTTGGTTTTTTTTTTTTTTTTTTGGGGTACCGGGGATCGAACTTGGGTCCTTGCACTTGTGCAGCAGGCAGCGAAACCACTGAGCTGAATCCCCGGCCCGATGCCTATAATCTTTACACCAGCTACTGAGGAGGCTGAGGCAGGAGAATCACAAGTTTGAGGCGAACTTGGGTAACTTAGACCCTATCTCAAAATAGAGTTGGGGATGTAGCTCGGTGATACACCACCACTGTGCTCAATACCCAATACTGCAACAAGAGGAGAAACTAGACAAAACCAAAATAATCCACAATCAGAAATATAAATTGTCTGACTCAGTATTTCAATTTTTTACATTATATATCTAAGCTTACAACATTACTTTTCAGGAAAATCTCTGTGAATTGTAAATAGGTTATTAATTTATAATTACTGTAGTGAACCCATGGTGGCAATTCACAAAGAGTGGTTCGTGGTAGGAAACTCTGAGATTGCAGTAGATGCTACAAATTCCTAACGTAATCCTTAAGAAACAGGAACTATAAAATCTAGGGCTCATATAACATAAGTAATGTACATATAAAACTAAATTCCCAAACCCAAGTTCAGTATACCTTTCCTGTTAACAGAAGTACTCTTGTCTCTTCTGAAATATAACTCTTGTCATTACAAAAGTCCTATTGAAAAACAAAAACAAATTGAACACAGTATTATTATGCAAACAACTTATTAGACATTGTACTTTGCAGTAACCGTTATAGTTGTGTTAACATATATAACAATTCAAGCCCTAGATAAACAAGAGCCTAATTCCCCACATTTAAAAAATGCACATTATTTTTTTCACACAGTTTAGTGTAAGCAGTCTCCAATTTATTCATTAATTATTTTCACCTCTTTTACTGTTATAAAACTTATTTCTCTGGGGCTTTCAAAGTAGCCAATATGCGCCGGGGATTTAGCTCAGTGGTTCCCACCGGTGCCTGCCTTGCAAGCACAAGGTCATGAGTTCGATCCCAGATAACAACAACAAAAAAAACAAAGTAGCCAATATGGTACCCTATGCTAGTACCACACTAAGCACTTAATATTCATTAAGGAGGCCCACAATGAATCTCAAGAGAATTATTCAGAGAAAAGCGAAAAAAGCCAGGAGTGTTTGTATATAAATATAATTCCAGCTACTTGGGCAGGCTGAAACAAGATCATAAATTTGAGGCCAGCCTGGGCAATTTAGCAAGTACCTGTCTAAACATAAATGTAGCTGGGTGTGGTGGTGCACACCTGTAATCCCAGCACTCAGGAGGATGAGGCAGAAAGATATCCACCTTGAGTTTGGGGGCAGCCTGGGTTACATAGTAAGTTTCAGGTCAGCTTGAACTACACTATAAGACCCTGTCTCAAAAAAAATAAATAAATAAATAAAAAGGCTAGGGATGTAGGGCAGTAGCTCTGTGGTAGAGCACAAGCATGTCCAAGGCTCTGGGTTCAATTCCCAGTACCATTAAAAAACAACAAAAAAGTGTCACCTCATTTAAAAATATTTTGTTTTTGAAAAACCATGAGTAGACATACTATTCAAATTATAAAAGTAAATATACATCAAAATATAGTTGAATAGCCAGGGATTTAGCTCAGTGGTTCCGCCTGCCTCCCAAGCACAAGGACCCGAGTTTGATCCCTGGCACCAAAAAAAAAAAAAAAAAAAAAAAAAGTTGAATAAGCTGGGTGTGGCAGCACATGCCTGTAATCCCAGCACTCAGAAAGTGGGAGGCAGGAGGATTGCCAACAAGTTCAAGGCCAGGTTGGGCTACATAGCTAGTTCAAGGCCAGCCTGAACTACATAGCAAGACCCTGTCTCCAAAAAAACAAATAATTCTTTGGGCAAAGGCCTTCATGCAACTAAAATACATGTTACAAAGCTTGGCTATCAGAGTTCATTCATTTTATTTCTGAAATAATAAACCACCAGGTTTATTATCTTAATAAGCTTGATCTTCTTAGTGTTTGATTTTATGCTGATTCAAAGAAAAATGTTAGAAAAACAAATAAGGAAAAGTTACATACTTTAAAAAACCTAAATTATTATTAAGACTAAAAACAGTATGAGTTACAAGTAACAAAAGAAAAAAATTATGTTCTTTGAGACCACTTAAGTATAGGGACAGGGGCCGGGGATTTAGCTCAGTGGTTCCTCTGCCTGCTGCACAAACACGAGGACTGGAGTTCGATCCCCCGTACCAAAAAAAAAAAAAAAAGTATAGGGACAAACAGCGATTTAATACTTTATGGTATTGCCAATGTTATGAATATTCTATTGCAGTCATGATGGCCCAAGTAGTCAAGAGGTTAAAGGTAAATTCAAGAGCTCACTTAAGAATACTGACAAAGATAGCAGATTCGGTAATGAGGGCAAATATAGTTTTTTGTTGGTTTATTTTGTTTCTTAAGACAGGGTCTTGCTATTTAACCCAGGCTGGCCTTGATCTCATTATGCAATCCAGGCTGTCCTCAAACTTGTGGGAATCCTCCTGCTTCGTCCTCCCAAGTCCTGGGATTATAAGTAGGTGCCACCAGGCCTGGCAAGAGGACAAACATCTTTGCAATCATTATTATTCCTCGAAAAAGCAAGCCAAAGTGAATATTGACTACTAAATCAATTCAACATTTTTAGCACAAAGTATGGTATTCGAAGTAGGAAATTTTATTTCCTGGGATTCTCTTTTAGAATTCCCTAAGGAAATTGTTATTGATGCCTATTTACAGGAATAAACATATGCAAAAATCCTTTCAATGCTGTTTTCTCCAATTAAAAATATTTGGGACTGTTTTATAAATAAATCTAACACCTAAAATCAGGGCATAAATGAAAAACATCTTTAAAAGGTTTTCTATTTTTATTTTTAATTTTTTTTGGTACTGGATATCAAACTCAGGACCTTTCTCTTGTGAGGCAGGTGGAGGCACCACTGAGCTAAATCCCTGGCCCAAGCCCTTTGAGTTTCACTAGCTTACCCGGAATTTAAAAAACCTTTGAAGGGCCGGGGATCTAGCTCTAGTGGTGCCTCAGCCCGCCTCCCAAGAGCAAGGTTTGGAGTCTGATCCCCAGTACCCCCCACCAAACCCTCAAAGGGCTTCAGTTCAGTGGAAAATTTATTTACGTGGAATACTCAATTCACTAATCCTGTAGCAGAATAAATGTACTATAAATATTCATAAATACCATGAACTGAATGTATACAGTGTGATAAATACTTCACATAAACCTAGATTAGTAACTGTTCACAGGTATTAACAATCATACTCTAGAGATAAAGAAAATGAGTTGTAGAGGAATTAACTTGTCGCTCAAGTTGGATGTGGTTGACCAGAATCCAGTGTGTCCATCAATCACCAAGACGAATTCCAAGAATACTAACATTTTTTTATATATGAATGTATTTACATTTATATGGTAGCAAGCATTTTTTAACCTTTTTTGTCTCTAAAAATAGTTTTTATAAAATGAGATTAATTTTTAAAAATGTAAAAATTCTTCTTTCTCTTAGAAATGCCCCAAAGGAACATTAAGAACAACAAAAAGCTTGATTTGTATTGTTATGTAAGGTAAGAATGATGTTATTTAGAGTTTTGGAATACAATCTCTCAACCCTAAATAAATCCAGATAATTTTTGAGCCTCTACTCCATCTAAGATCTGGCTCTAGATTGATGGTAATCGATGGCAATTGTAGGAGAAAACTAAGGTGAAGAAAATTACCTTTTCAGGCTGTGTGAAAAACTTCATCGGGAGGACGGGATCCTTAGGTGAATCTGCATTGCACAGAGCACTCTTGCTGTTTATGACACACAGCGCCACATCACATACCGTATACAGTTTCTAGAGAGGAAAAGGAGAAAGACTGTAAGCAAATTTCATGATTGCAAAATAGTCACAAGAACCAATTCTACCAAATGTATAAATTCAAAGAAGGCTATGTTATTTATCCTTAAACATTTTCTGTTTCTGTTCAGCATTGCTTCTGGGAAAAGGGGAAGAGAAAAACATCCCTATTTTAATTTAACATGAATGCCAAGTATGTACTAGAAATAACAAACAAATAAAAAGCATATCCATTTTCTATACTCCTATTAGAGTTCATAAGGCGATATACTTGTTGATTCTATTATTTTTTTTTTCATTTTTTTTGATGCTGGGGATCAAAACCAGGGCATGTTAGTAGGCAAGCACACTACCACTGCACTACATCCTCAGCCCAAATTTTACTATTCCTTATTCTCCTTCTCTGTAGAACTTATACTGCTTTTCTTAGAATATTAAACATCTCCAAAATGACAAAATTTAAGTCCGGCGTGGCAGCGCACACCTATAATCCCAGCACTTGAAAGGCTAAGGTAGGAGGATACATTCTCAGAAAAAAAAATTGTGATGAAATAAAAACTGTAACAAAAAAAGAAATTAATAAAAACTGTAAGTACAGTTTCATAGACATGCTGCAATTTAAATTACTGTGTAATGGCCAGGAAAAATAAACAAGTCAACATGTTTTTCTCTGACACCTCAACATCCCTTGGCTTGATACCCATCTTACTTCATTTGTCTTGGATTCATCTGGAGACTGGGCATCTCTGGTTAATTTAATGTTTTCTGCCATCTTCTTCATAAAGGCATGGCTATTGTTTTCATTCTTTGTCATTAAAACTTCAAGCATAAACCACAGGCACCTAAATGGTAGTATACATATTAAAGAGACGAAATGTATCTATGTTTGCTTAATGAAATAAATACCTGATCGGGAAGTTCTGTTGTCTAAATGCAACAAAAGTAAGATATAAAAAACTCACTAATAAACAACAACAACAACAACAACAACAAAAACAAAAAAACTCACTAATTACTAACACTAATTATTGTCCTGTCAATAATATTTAGTTAGAAAGTTAAATCACAATATATTAAAAATGAAAACAACATGATTAGTTTTGACAGTTTCATAAGGCACATGAAGGCTTATATGGTACTATATAGATATTCAATAAACATGTATATGTTTTCAATCTGCTGTAGCACATAGCAATGCTCAGCAAACCAGCATCTGTGATAATTCTGGCATTTTGACTATGTGTAAGTTACATAGAAGGCTTATGACTGATATGTAATTTGCTGATATAAATCTAAATGGAATGTACTATACAGATAATATATATGGCAATCAATAATTCACCTGAACAGTTATATTTCAAACCATTTTTGCTGCTATCCACTTGTCAACATGTAGCCACTAATACAGTAAGTCCCCGACTTATGAACGAGCTCTGTTCCAGGAAAATACTAAGTCAGATTTGTTTGTATCTGATAAAGTGAGTTTTACACAGTACACCTGTGAAAGTCTGCAACTTGAATGTTCCCGAGTCAGGTACTTACTGTACATAAAATGCATAATTAGGACATTTGGATTTCTAAGTAAAAGTGAACCCCAAATCAAGCTAAACATTAGAATCACTTGGGGAACTTAAACTGATAAATCTTGATGTGGGGTTTGTTTTTAATGTTTATCAAGATGATTTACAAAAGGACTACTGCTTTATTAATACAGCAAAAATTATGTAATATTCCTTGTGGACTTCTTTGCCTACATATCATGTAAATATATATATTTTTTGTACCGGGGATTGAACTCCAGACCTTGCACTTGTGAAGCAGGCAGTGGCACCACTGAGCTAAATCCCCAGCCCTTATCATGGAAATATTTTAAGAAATTAGCAGAACAGTTTAAATAAAAGTGGGTAGTTTCTATAATACACTAGTTCAAGATAGCTACTGGAATGCTGAACAATCAAATAATGGAGAGCAGGAAAGATAAATAAAATAATTATTCAATATTCAATGAATACTTTTGTGCACTGGGCATTAAGCTAAGCATTTTGTCCTCATAACTATGAAGAGTATGGGGCTGGGGATTTAGCTCAGTGGTTCCGGCGCCTGCCTCGAAAGCACTGCCCTAAGAATATAATTATTGATCTTTTACCTATCCTTTCTAGTATGCAGGTTCCCATAATGTTGTGGATTCTCCGTACCTTATCACACAAAGCTAATTCTTCTCCTTCCCAAATCTTTTCACCAAGCTGTCTGGAATGCACTTTCCATAGAAAATATGTTTCAGTGAATGTTGACTGTCTTGTTCACTGTTTCGCCATAACTGAAACCAGACTTACTTCTTTATGACAAAAGTACTTAAACTAGGCATAGAAAAGAATTTCCTCAACATGGGAAAGGCCACATATGAACCAGGCATGGTGGCCCATGCCTGTAAGCCCAGCACTCAGGGAGTCTGACGCAGGTGGATTCTAAGTTTGAGTCCAGCTTGGGGGAACTTAGTGAGATGTATTAAAATAAAAAATAGGGCTGGGACTGTAGCTCAGTGCAAAGGCTCTGGCTGGTTCACTCTTTGTACTTAAAACACTGCTGAACCAAAAAATTTAAAAGATCTAAGTGAATGGAAAGACATCCTGTGTTAATGTGTTGGAAGATTTAAGATTTACAGTACTAATACTCAAAGCAAATTAAATGCTATTTCCATTAAAACTCAATTTTGGCAGAAATGAAAAACTGTAATCCTAAAAACTCATACAAAAGAAAACAATCTTGATACTTTCCAATTTTCAAAGATACTACAAAGCTATAATGTCAAACACTGTCATATGGTATATGGGTATATAAAGAGCATGAACAGAGCTGAGAATTGGGAAATAAATCTACACATGGCCAAAAAATTTGATGTATACGTAATTTTTTTTTGGTACTGGAGATCGAACTCAGGACCTTGCGCTTGCGAGGCAGGCGGCGGACCCACTAAGCTAAATCCCTGGCCCGATGTATATATAATTATTTTGTTGATACTAAGGATCAAACTCATGGCCTTCTCACTGAAGTACATCCCCAGCCCATTTCATTTTTTATTTTGAGACATCATCTCGCTAAATTGCCCAGGAATTTGTGATCCTCCTGCTTTAGCCTCCCAAACCACTGGGAATACAGGCTTATCCTACACACTGGGGACTTGGACAACTAATTTTTGACAGACAAAGGTACCAAGACCAATGTTTGGGGAATAGAACATCTCTTCAACAAACAGTGTTGGAAAAACTAGATATTCACGTGAAAAGAAGTCTGAACCTTTATGATATACTATTTGTTTGTTTTTTTGGTACCAGGGATCGAACTCGGGTCCTTGTGCTTGTGCAGCAGGCAGCCAAAACCACTGAGCTAAATCCCCAGCCCTATGATATACTATTAAAAAAATCAACAAAGAAAAATTTTAACTCAAAATCTATCTTTCTTTTTTCTGGTATTACTGGGAACTGAATCCATGGTTTTCTTACTAACTTACATCCCAAGGTCCTTTTGATTTTTAAAAAAATTCTTATATAGGGTCTAAGTTGTATAATTCTAGCTCTCCAGAAGGCTGAGACAGGAGGATCAAAAGCATAAGCCCAGCCTGTGCAATTTAGTGACTTAAATTAAAAATGGGTTATAGATATAGCTCAGTGAGAAGGCCCTGGGTTCAATCCCTGGTACTAGAAAGAAAAAGGAAAAACCAAGTGAAATAATATGCCTGATAAGGAATTAATATCCAATATATAAAGAATTCCTACAAACTGTGCTCACTGGTGCACACCTGTAATCCTAGCACCAAGGGAGGCTGAGGTGGGATTGCAAGGAGGAATCTCACTTGCTAGAGACACCGTCTCAAAATAAAAAAGGGCTTGTGCCAGGGATGTAGCTAGCTCAGTGGCACAGCACCTGCCTAGGAAACGCGAGTCCCTGAGTTTGAGTCCCAGTACAAAAAAAACAAAAAAAAAAGGCTGGAGATGTGGCTCAGTGGTAGAATGCTTGCTTTGATCCCTGTACTCCCCTGACTTATCTTTCAATTAAAAAAAAAAAATTCTTATTTTTTTGTGGTACTGAGAATTGAACCCAAGACCTTACACATGCTAGGCCAAGTGCTCTACCACTGAGCTACATCTTCATCTTGCCTACCAATCTACATACAGCTAAAAGGCTGTCAAACGTAAGAGTCGTATTCTAGGCAAATACATACCACTTTTTCATGTTATAAAATTTTTTTCTGGAATAATCCTAAATAAAAAAAAAATTTTTTTTTTTTTGGTACCGGGGATTGAACTCTGGACCTTATACTTGCAAGGCAGGCGGCGGAACCACTGAGCTAAATCCCTGACCCCTATAAAAATTGTTTTATAAGCAAGGAACAGAATTTTCAAATAAGCACAAATCTAAAAATTTATGAAATAAAATTTAGGAATTATTTCAAATTATACATTTTATAAAACAGTCAAATGAAGGTCAATAAACCTTGGTCTTTGGAGGAAGGTGTAGGGAACGGTTCTAGGGTTTGAACCCAGGGCCTTGAGCATATAGGCAAACAATCTAACACTGAGCTATATCCCCAGCTTCTTTTCAATTTTAAGACAGAGGCCCAGGTAATCCAATTTCCGGGTCCCCTCCTTCCTCTCAGGACCTGCCCTCCTCAATAAATTTCCTACTCTTAAAAAAAAACATAGCCAGGCATAGTGGCACATGCCTGTAATCCCAGCACTCAGGAGGCTGAGGTAGGAGGATTGCCGTGTGTTTGAGGCCAACCTGGGCTACACAGTGAGTTGAGGGCCAGCCTGAACTACAAAGTGAGTCTCTGTCTCAAAAAAAGACACAGACCCACTATGTTGTCCAGTTTGGCCCTGAACTTTCAATCCTGTACCTCAGCCTCCTAAGTACAGTAGCTGAGATAACAGGTTTGTGCCTTTGTACATGGCCCAAGAAAATTTTGAATAAAATGCTGGGAGTAAAACTTAAGTCTGCTAAAACCTAAGTATACAGCTTTAAAAAAATATATACAACTTAATAAAATTTCTAATACATTTTTCAAAACTGTACACTTATTGTGAAAGTATATGAGCTATAACTGTTTAGGAATAAGACTTATGTCCTGTACAGAAAATTGTAATGAAATACAAGCTGAAGTGGTAATGTAGGGGTTGGTAAGGGAAAAAACAGCAATGAGGATGGAATGTAAGTATTACCTTCAGGTTTCTTAGAGGTCATTTGTAGACAATCCTCAGCCTTCTTTTACTCTTATATGCTGCACCATATGCCAACTTTCACTTTGCACTGTGTTTTGTCTTGGCACAGAGTATTTCATGTGTGGGTATGTTTTTAAGGTATTATCTTTTTTTGGGGGGCAATATTGACTGGGGATTGAACCAAGAACTTTCATCTGAGCTACATCCTGAGCCCTTTTAATTTTGCAAAAAGGCCTCACTACGTTGCCTTGCCAGGACTTGAACTCCCAATCCTCTGGCCTCAGAGGCCCAAGTGAGATGCAAGCATGCGCCATCATGCTGTGGCAGTATCTCTAAGATGGATGTAAAGGTGAGAATTATGCCATGCACATGCTAGGCAAATGCCTACCCCTGAGCTTTACCAATAGAACAAGAGGCACACTTATATTTTGTGAGTTTCTAAATTTCCTAATTGATTCTCAGCTTAACATAACAGTAAAAAAAATCACAATATACAAAAATTAAAATAAAAAAATTAAAATAACCCAATTAACCAATGCAAACACTTAAGACAGCTAAGTACTACACATAAAAAAGAAACTGAACAACCAAAAAGGGCTAGTTAGATGGGAATAATTTTGAAAGATGACACAATTTTACAATGAATGAACAAAAACATAAAAATAATAATAGGAAACACAACATGAAAAATTTAGGATTTTTTGAAAAGTAAAAACAATGTGTGGAAATCTTGGAAAACCATTAAGACTTACTCTTTGATATCACGAAGCTGATCAACATCTTGTGATCTTGTAAAATCTGGATCATGGGCTAACAGATGAATCATGTATGGAACTACATATTCAGGCAACAGCGATAACAATTTCTCTATAGTGAAAATATCATCATTAACAACAATATAATGGCATTTATTATTTTATAAGACAGGGTCTCACTATGTAGCCCAGGATAGCCTTGAATTCACAGCAATTCTCCTGCCTCAGTTTCCTGAGTGCTGCGATTACAGGCATGTACCACCATGCCTGGCTTTATAACAGCTTTTTTTTGGTACCGGGGAACGAACTCAGGGCCTTGCGCTTGTGAGGCAGGCGTGGAACCACTGAGCTAAATTCCCGGCCCTATAACAGCTTTTATAAATCCCTTCCTAGGTTTGAGTTCTAACAACTTCAGTTTCCATTTTTTTTCAATTATTTATAAATTAGAGAAAACATAATATCTAGATGATACTACTAAAATACTTTTATGTCAATTTTGAAAGATACTGAAGCTTAAAGAGATTTGAAAGATTATAAAGGTAAAAACTGTACTCTGCCATCTGAGCAATGTGTTCAATTCAAACTATACTGCTAATTATATAAGAGAAATGCAATTACCCAAAAACTTTGTTACATAAATTAATGGGACTCAAAATTCAGCATGCTGGCTCTTAAACTGAGTGTACCTACAACAACATTCTATAAAACTCCCAGTTTTATCTTAAAATACAATAGAAATATATGACCTTCCCTCACAAACTGTTTCATTGACAAGGTAAACATGGGCATTTGGGAATTGTCAGCTACTTACCAGTAGCCATAGGGTTCTGCTTAATGTACTCCCTTCTTATACTGATGTTTTTTAATAAACACTGCCGTGCATGTGCTCTTCTCTCTTTCACAGGATCTTTGGCACACAAAGCAAAGATCGCCATATACTCCAACGGGAGCAGTAGCTTCACAAGTGCCTTATGCAGCTTTTGAGCAAATATCTGCCTTACTTGGTAACACTCATCCTACACCAGCACAAGAAGAAAAATACTTAAAATTGGCAAATATTTCAAGTTTTAAGTATTTTAAATGTCTTATTTTAAAAATAATAATTATATTGGAGAAATAAATAATTTAATATTTGGGAGATATTGAAATAGGTAATAGCAATCTCTTTAGTGCACATTAAGTAGATCTGAATACATAGAAAAATAAATGGATTTAACTTTGAAGACAAGTATTTCACAAAATACTTACATTAATAACTAATGCACAGAGTTGAAATTGTTCTGGAGTAATAATTTCATGGTAACAAGGTTCCTGAGCAAGCTTCATTATGGCACTACCAGCAGCTAATCGCAAGCGAGACATATCAGATTTACTATAAACAAACAAAAAAGAAATAAACATTTCCTATAACCATTATAACATATAACAATGCTTTGATCCTTTTATTGGGGGGAGGGGTTTAGCTGGGAATTAAACTCAGGGAGTGCTAAGCTACATACCCAGCCTTGAGACAGAGACTCAATAACTTGCCTAGGTTGGCCTCACACTTGTCACCCTCCTGCTTCAGCCTACTAAGCAGTTAGGATTACAGAAGTGGACTATCATGCCTGGTTTCCTGATCTCTCTTTTGACTATAAGATTCCTTGGGTATAATTCATGGAATTTCTTTTTTCTTTTTTTTGGTACCGGGTATCGAACTCGGGTCCTTGCACTTGCGCAGCAGGTGGTGAAACCACTGAGCTAAATCCCCGGCCTCACTGGGTGTAACTGATGCTTAAAACAGCATAATGTGGAGATATGAGTGTGGTTTTTTTTTTTTTTTTTTTTGGTACCGGGGATCGAACTCGGGACCTTGCGCTTGTGTGGCAGGCACTGGGACCACTGAGCTAAATCCCCGGCCTGAATGGCACTTTTTAGAGCAATCTCCCCTTCACAGTAGAAACCTTATGTAGACGCACTCTGAAAATCAGTATTGTAGATACTTAGACACTCTGGTTAGTATAGCCAGAATGCATTACCTGTATGCAGTTTACACCCAAACACTGTGAGCTCTAGCTGTTGGCAGTTACAACTGAACCTCAGGTCATACACTTAGGCTCACCTCTATGGGGCACCAATTGCAAGAAATATCTTAGTTTGCAACCTTTA